AAAGAAAAATCTCAGAAATACTTGATCTCGTCAGAATAAATTTTCAAACTTCTGTTGTGGGCATTACGTAATGCCCTCAACGTTTGCACCTTTAAGTTTAATTTCTAGTAAGACTGGAAGCTCAATTCAGAAGCTGTTTATGGTGTTCTGTTAGCTTGATACAAGGATTATTTTAGAATCAAAATGCTGTTTGCATCTCACTTTGGTTATTCAGAAATTTCACCTAAAGTTTGATGTGGACATTACATTGTGGACATTACAACATCCTTTTTTCACAAAATGATTTGATTTTCTCCTCATTTTCTCCAAAATGATGATGGAAATCAAGATATTAGTTCTTTAACCTTATTTAGGAATCTTTTCCTTACAAAAAAATGTTTTTTTTGTTCATATAAAGTTCAACAATAATTTTGAAGTAAACTTTAATTGCCTTGCCTACAAAACTGTAACTTTGAAAACATGGAAACAAAGAATGCTCTCAGTGGACTTACAAAATGTACTAGCCATGATCACATTCACAAAACAATCATGCTTGATCAAGCATAGAAAAGATCTTTAAATCAATTAAGTAGAAACTATATCATATAGTTACTTAATTGATTTAAAGATCTTTTCTATGTCTTTTTGAAAGAGAATAGTAAAAGGACCTGTACTCTCAATGGTCAAAGGACCAAAGAAAACTGAAGAGACAGGCTTTGTGTTGATATCTGCTGTTCTAGGAAAGTCAAATTTGAAAGCTCCTACTCTGTGTAGATATCTAAAGGTCACCATCTGGTTTTCTACACTCTGTGCTCTGTTAATGTAGTAGTTGGTGCGGTAATCTACTGCGTAGAACTGGTCTACTGTGATGTCGGGCTCAGTGATTTTTTGCAAGATTCTTCTGTGCAAGTTATATGTCATTCCAAGCCTAAATTCTGGAAAGCATGGTTCTTTGATTATTGGTCCTAGCCCACTTAAGCATCTGGCATAGAGACACCACAATCGAAGTCATTTGTCTGTCTTTGCTCTTGAACACCTTTTCACATCTTCTTTTAGCTTTGCATCAAACTTTTTTAACCTTTCTGTGCTTGTTTTTGCCATGATAATTCACTAAGTAAGTTTTGGTATTTGATAATGTTAGAAAGAGGGAATGTCAATAAATGTCAATAAACTGGTCAGCAGTCTTCATTACTGAACATGCTCGTTACTTTATGCAATCAGTGAGCATGATCTCATTCAAAACACCACTGACTATGTAGAATATAAAATTTCTTTATTTCACAATTTCTGAGGCAATTTCAAATTTTGCTAAACTAAATTCATTATTTGAATTTTCTCTGGTTTTAAAAAAATTATAAAAAGGTATTTTGCTGTTTCTGTTCCAAGTTTACCTTGAAATTGCTTTATTTCTTAAAACCATATAACAAAGCATGCTAAAAATGGTGTGTATACTCAATAAAATGCTATTATATTGTCAAATTATTAGCAAACGTCTTCATGTCATCCATCAAAGATACCCTTGAGCGACAAAGAAAACTCCCATCCTATTATCGTCGATATGTTGATGCTACAGTCACTGTAATGCCTGATCTAGCAACAGCAACTACCTTCTTGCATACCCTCAACAGCGCCCACACTTCGGTCAAATTCACCATGGAGGTGGAGAAGAACAGCAAGCTTCCTTTCCTTGGCACCGAACTACTCAACCATGCACCTCGGATTGAAACCAAGGTATATGTGAAACCAACAAACACGGGCCTACTATTACACTACCAAAGCCATGTAGACAATCGCTACAAACGGAGCTTGCTGAAAACTATGCTGGATCGCGCACACCGATTATCTTCCTCCTGGGCCCATTTCTCTGATGAGTGTGATCGCCTAAAGAAAGTTTTCGCACGGCTTAAATACCCGGAACGCCTGGTAAATTCTACCATTAACACCTTCTTACAATCAAGAATTGTTGGTACGCAGCCCACACAGACGCCCAAAGAACCAATATCCATTGTTCGTGTGGTCATACCTTTCAAAGATCAGGAATCAGCAAATTATGTTAAGAAAGAGCTCAAGAATCTTAGCATGAAGGTGCAGACAACTGTCCAGCCAGTATTTGTTAGCCGCAAAGTTGGCCAAGATCTTAAAGTACGAGAAATCAAGCCACAGATTGTCAACCAACAACGCGTCGTTTATCAATTTCAATGTGACCTGTGTGATGCGGGTTATGTGGGCTATACACGCGGACACTTACACACACGCGTGGATGGACATAAACGAAAGGCATCTTCAATATATAAACACTACCACGAACGGCACAGCGAAGTCCCGAAAGACCTACTGAAACGTTTTAGCATTCTGAAAAAGTGTAGTAACAAGTTCGATTGTTTGGTGAACGAAATGCTTTTCATCAGAGACTTAAAACCCACTCTGAACGTGCAAAGCGATTCAATTCGCGCAAAAGTATTTGTTTAATTAGCTCGTAACATATTTATGCTAATTTAGTGTTACACCTTGCCACAAACTT